ACAGAACTGTGTTCCGTTGTCCGAGACCAATTGTTCAGGATTTCCGAAGAGTGCACAATATTCGTTTAACATTTTTAATGTTGCATATGTGGTTGTCGTTGTGGTCTCGTATATAACAGGGTATTTTGAATACGAGTCGATGATAAGAAGATAATATTTACCTTTTTCTGGACCAGCATAGTCTATATGTATCCTTTCAAGAGGGTGTGAAGTTAATGGCCATGGGCAAAGATTTGTTTTTACTGGACTTTTTGCCGCATGTTGACAATTTTTGCATTTCCGAACAAAGTCTTCAATTTGTTTGTCGATGTTTGGCCAATAAACATAACTTCTGGCGATGGCTTTGCTGCGTTCTGCTGATAAGTGTCCTCTGTGAAGTTGTTGTAAGATTTGTCTCTGATATGATTTAGGGATTACTATACGATTATTGAAGAGAATACAACCATCGAAGGTTGAAAGATTTTCCTTGCGGTTGAAAAATTGAATAATTGATGGGTTAATATTTTTCTTGCTTTCTGGCCATTCTGTTTGAATGTATTTGAGGACCATTTGTAAATCCGTGTCTTTAGTTGTTGCATCGACGATCATTTTAAATGATACTGGGAGAACTGACATAATTTCATTTATCTCGTTACGTATGTCTTCTTCGAATGATATTGAAGCCACTATAAAGTCATCTGCTGGTTTTTCATGATTGTTGACTTTTGTTTTGCACAGACCTGGGGTACTGTTATCAAAAACTGATTGATAATTCGTTTTCAATTCTGATATTTCATCAACGAAGTTTATTTGATGACACCATGAGGTTATTGGTTTCTGCCATAGATTGAATGCTTGAATCCAATCGATTCCCATGATATTGAGTTTTTCTATATCTGTTATATAACATTTTAATGTTTTTGATGTTTTGTCGATTGTGACGTCACATTGAAATTCTGCTAGGAGCTTGACTGAGTTTGCGTTTGCGTCGCTAGCGTTGTCAAAAGTTTCGTAGGCTTCAGGCTTACCTATAGCTTTCCATGTGTTGATAGATACAATTGATATGTCTGATGCAGTATCAATTTGAAGTTTTACAGGATTGTTGTTAATTAGGACAGTTGTGTATTTCCTTAAGTCGCGGAAATTAATGTTGTGTGTTTTGAAAACTGCCTTAGTTTTGGATGATTTCCTTGAATTGCTGTATTTCTTGAATTCGTTCTGGTTGTTTTCAGACGATGATTTGAAATTCTTACCAGTCTTAGCGATGTTGCAAAAGTTATTTTTATGACCCACTTGATTGCATGTTGTGCATTTATGTTTCTGGAAAGGACAAAATTTGACGTAGTGAAGGTCTCCGCAATACCAACAGGGTGAATTGGGTGTTTTGTGCTTCTTAAAGTCTTTTGCGTGCTTGTTGAGTGAACAGACGATTTTTGATTGATGTTCAATGAGAATGTTGTCCGATTTGAGATCTAGAATTCGTTGTGTTTCGTCTACTAGTTGATCTAGGTTCATTGTAGTGTTTTCATCATCCAGTACCTTTAGTAAGCGAAGTCTTATGTCGTTGTCCTTTGCTGACTTGAGTCCTAAGACGAAAATGAGACATTTGAATTGGTCGATTTTCAGTTCTTTCATTTTGAATAGTTCGCATTGTAGGTTTACTCTGCTTGCGTATTCTCTGAAATCTTCGCTGTCGCCTTTTGCTAGCTGAAGGCATTTGTATCTTTGTGAGACTTGTGTTTCTGTTTTACCAAAGAGTTTCTTGAGTTTCTCTACTGTATCCTTTAGAGTCATGTCTTCAGGTTTTGCTGGTAATACGTAGTTGGCAAATCTTTCATGTACTTGGTTCGACATTTTTCTCCATAACAAGGCCACTTTGTCATGTTCTTCGAGTGAGCTTGCTTCTTTTTCGAAAACATGCACAAACCTGTTGTACCACGCTTGAAATATCAGACCGCTCTTTGGCTCGTATACGAATGCTGTCATTGACTGTGCTAGTGATTCCATTAGTGCTGCTTTGGATGAATTTGATGTTTGTGGTGAGTGTGGTGAATTTGGTGCTCCTTGTGCTTGAAGAAGATCAGCCATATGCTTTAGCAGTTGCGTTTGTTGCGACATTGCTTTTTGTTGCTCTGTTAACAATTGTAGAATTATGTCTTGAGACATTTTTGCGGATTGTTGTGTGTGCAATTATTGATCAATTTCCACTATCCTCGTCGCCACTTTTGTTGTACTTTTATGGTTTGGAATAAAAGCCAATGTTTGTTAATACTAAAGGTGTAAAGATTTATTGGATGATGAGCGTTCACAGCTACTAATTTAAAAAGAATGAAGAAGTTACAATGTAGTGAGTCAGACTCGAGTGACAGACAAAACAAGACTGAGCAAGCTAAAATGGCGGTAGCACGGCGTCCTATTATATGGGCGTTGCCGTATAGGATGTTGCAACATGAGATGCCATATTGTTAATGTGGGTTGCCCCAACATATATATATGTCCCCTTGTCATTTTTCATTGTTTTTATGCTAAACCACCTTAAAAAATTCCAAACAAATAACCGTTAAAATATTTTCGCCGATATCTATTTTTGTTGACGTTTAAATGCACATACCTTGTAACTGGTTTTCAAGTGCTATCTTTTGTCAGCCTTTCGATGATAGCCTTTTTACACGGATTTTTTATTCTTTATTACTTATTCTTAGGTCAAATTTAGTAGTTCAAATTTCACCCTCTTCCTGTCAGCCGATTAATCTGAAGTTTTCTATACACTTTGGATTTTGGTGACAAGATGACGGCCGCTACAAAATGACAGATAACGTAAGTTTTACCAATAAGGGTATCAAATGAAAGTGCTCAACCAGTAGAATACAGTGTGCTATATAAAATTAAAATCCAAGATGGCGGCCTCTACAAAATTGCGGATCATTTAGGTTTTATTTAAAAATATTCTTTACTTTAATAGAAATGTCTTGTCCACACCAGCTCCTCCTGGCGTGGGCAAGACTTTTCTATTAAAGTTATTACGACACCAAATTAATAGGTGCTACGCAAATGATGCGTTAAAAGTCTGCTCTGAAAATGAGTTTTTTGGAGGAGTAAACGTATTACTTTTAGGTTATCTTTTACAACTGCCTCCTATAAAACGATCAGAAACACCTGTTTTCAAACAGCCAGAACATCTCCAACCAGCTACACATCTCAGGCGTTTACTCACGCTGTGTGAATTAACTGAAAATATGAGCTAACGGTGAGCTAACAACCCAAAATTTTTGTATTTTAATGGAAAGACTTCTTCAAGACACGAGTGATGAGTTTGCAATAGAAAAAGCGTTAAGGGTATACCCCACAATCAACAAGTTAACGACCACAACTATTGAATTTGTACAGAAATAATGGTGCTCGCATTTATAAAATAAATGCGCAGGATCAGTTGGTACACGCCAAAAGTCATGCTACGGCCCAATATTGACGTTTCAAAGGGATTAGTAAATGGCGCTATAGGTTACATCAACGAAACCGATTGGTCTCAATTTCGTCGAACTCAAATGTATGCAACTGACGTACCTTCCGTCCAAATTAATTTCGCACAACTGCAATAAACTAACGGGCAAGAAACCTTGCAATAATACAACACTAAATGAATTTGACAGAATGCAAAATAAAAACTAAAAAATAAAGATAGGTAAAAAACCCAAACAAAAAACGAGTGAACTGATGAGGATTGGTGGCTCTTTCCGGAGCCTAGGTATTCCCTGCCTTACCCCCTGGTAAACATTACCATCGTTCTCCACTAATAAACAAACGTTGTTTTTATAAAAACAACAATAAAGGGATAAACCTGATCATTTTGCAACAACAACATAGGTAAAAAAAACTTTTTAAGTTAAACATTGCAATGTATGTTTAATATAAAAACGTGTAACTTAAAAAGTTGTTTTTACCTTAAATAAAAGAACACATACTTTTTCATTGTTTTTGTTCTGTTTTGTTTTATCACAACAAAAAAATGCGAAATAAAAAACACGCCGAAACACGCAAACTTTTATTTTTTTAATCGTTTTGTACTCCGAACAATACAAAATCACAAACATTGTAAAGCTAGCAATACACAAACCATACGATAGCTTTAATGCACTTCGGCTGTGAGTTGCCGAACTGAATCGTTTGTGAACGAATCGCTAAAAAACGTTTTCTGTGTGAAATAAAGACTGTTATATTTAGAGTTGGCATTCTAAATATTTTCCCCTCTTTTCCATTGTTTGATGGAAATAATAAATTAATAAAAAGGCATGAATTTAACTTAATATTAAGTTTTTAATTTGTTTTCGTATGCTGGTGGTAAATGTTTTTACATTTGAGAACAACAATATGTACTTCAACTCATAATGGTACGCGGGGATAGCTTTCGATTCATTGTCGATCCAGTCTAAATTGTATATGTATTTTTTTCCGAGATGCCTCAAGGGTTGTAACTTGCCAACTCAATGATACGTTCGTGCCAAAGTTTGGCTAAAAATTACACATCAAAGGTATGGTAATGATATCATGCCAATGGTTGTGTGAAAATGCTGTGCAAATGTTTGGGGGAGATGTCCTGCAAAAGGATATCTCGCCTCTCTCTCTGAAAAGAAGCAGTGCAATTACCAAAAATATACCAACCCATGAGTCCCATTTAATTAGTATACATTATTGTTTTTAATGCCTGGATAGCGATACTGTTGGGGATATTATGCATTATATTCTCGTCATCTGATACCACTTCAGGTTCAGGGTGCTCACCTGGCTTAAGTTACTCATGTGAACAAGTGGAAAGGGGCAATGGCTGTTTCTGTGTCCTTAAAATTTTTTGTCAAGCTAATTTTCACAGTGCTTCAACATGGAATATTAGGAATTCTTCCGTATGGATTTTTAACTTGAAGTTTCAAGCAATATAGACTTACAGGTTTGCAATATGTTTTATAATTATTTAAACAAAGTAAACCAATATTGAATTTTAATAAATTAATTATTTGTTCCAACAGGGATTTGAATACTCTCGAAGTGGAAATCCTACTAGAAACGTTCTTGAAAAATGCTTAGCATCACTTGATAACGGAAGGTACGGTTTAACATTTTCATCTGGATTAGGCGCTACAACTGCGGTTCTGACCATGCTTTCTAATGGCGATCACATTGTAATCGGTGATGATATTTATGGTGGTACAAATCGTTTAATAAGGTAAGTGGTTGTATTTTTAAGTAATCATAATAGACTTGGTTATAACAATGTTTTTGTAGACAAGTTGCATCAAAATTCGGAATAGAGGCAACATTTGCTGACCCAACAAATATCGAGGAATTTGAAACAGCCATAAAACCTAATACCAAAGTAATTATATTTTAATGTTTCTCGTTCTCATTTAACAAAAATAATTTTTGTAGTTAGCATGGGTTGAGACTCCAACAAATCCGACTATGAAAGTTGTTGATATTGAAGCTCTTGGAAAAGTTGTACATAAATCTGGTGATATTATATTTGCTGTAGATAATACCTTCTTGACATCATATTTTCAAAGGCCATTGGAGTTGGGAGCTGACTTAGTATGCTACTCATTAACAAAGTATATGAATGGTCATACTGATGTAGTAATGGGAGCTGTTACTATGAACTCGGAGGTGTTATACAATCGCTTGAAGTTCCTTCAAAATGGTATAGTATTTCTAGCAAATAAAATATGTGAAGCATGTAGACAAAGACAGTATTGGTACAAAAAAAAATAATTTGACTATAACTCTTTTTTTATTTTGTTTACTTTATTTGTTTGTTTAAATTCAATACATTTATTACATAGTGACTGTAAACAAGTAAAAAACGTTAATTTCGAACGTGGTGAACTTTTAATATTTTCAACCACAAAGTAGAGGGAAACATAAAGACTACAAGTAAAAAAGCAGTTAAGTTCGGCCAGGCCGAAGTTTTAATACCATCCACAATTGGAAAGCAACTTGAAAATGTAAAAAAAAAATCTATCGAAAACTACAGCTTAAACAAAAACCGCTTTATCGTGGATTTGCATAAGTATCTTTCTGTTATAGGCTGTATTACCGATGCAGAACTTCAAATGCAAATTTTGAAAAAAAAAAAAAAAAATCTGGTGAATAACGTCGCTAACATCATCAAAAAACCCAATAAAAAGAGGTAACGTTATTTGAAGTCGTGGACCTGTATAGACAATTTTCTTTCATAGGTTGTAGTACCCATTACGAACTTCAAATTCGAAATTTGAAACAATTTCGGTCTAAATTGTTAAAATGCCGAATATAGGGTAGTACCGTTATATAGGGACTCTAAGAAAACGTGGAACGACATATCCATTTAAGAACGTAACCTGCCTATTGGCGAAATACACATATGTGTGCAAAATTTTAGCCTATTATCCCAATTCGTTCGAAAGATAACGGGATTACAACATACGGACAGCTTCATGTTGTATAGCGGATAACAAATTTCAACATTATTTCTCAACATAAATGCATTTTTACAAAAACATAATTCATTAAATAAAATTATTATTTCAATTAGCTGTTTATGCAGTTACTACAACTCTTTTTCAATTGTAATTCGAATAATTTTATTCATTTCATACAATCTATATATATAAATGAAAGTTGTGTTAGTTACTACGCTTATAACTTAAGAACCGCTGAACTGATTTTAATGATTCATACAAATTCGGAATTGTCTCCTATCCGAAAAGGATAATATACAAAAAAAATGACGTAAAAATGTGATATATTAACATTTTCATTTTGATTTTTGAAATGTACAATAGTAATGTTTTATTTTGCATGATTTTTTTCCATTTTGACTTACTTTTTTCTAATGTACATTTGTAGTGTTTTTTATATTTTATTTTTGAATTCGAATATTAATATCAATTTATTTAATTGACTTGATTTCTTGAGAACTGAAATTGATGACGGGTTACATGGAAGTGTAATACCGAATTATGTGGTGGCGAAACGGAATAGATGATATCGAAATAATTTAACGCGGTCACACCAAAGTTAGAAGATAATAACCTTTTCAAAATCGCTAAAAAAAAATTACGAAAAAAGAGATCTCATTACAAAAATTCTCAAAACGGGAAAATATCGAAAAAAATGTCCAATGGAATTGAATTTTAAAATAAAAGTACATTCTATTGACAAACTTTGTAAGGATCTTTAAACAGTTGCTGTAAAAAATCAGCGAACAAGTTGAAGATTTTTTCAATTTGTTATTATTCTTTTGTCATTTTTTTTCAATTTGTATTATCATATTGAATTCAGTTGATTTTTTGTGAACGAAATAAAGAATAATTTTTCACTATATACAATTTTTCACCAAAAAATGAAATAAGTGCGAAATACGATTGTAACTAACATCTACCTTTCAACTCCAGGGCCTACATCGTGCTTCAGCTGGAAGATGCGCAGACATTTAAACAAACAAAAATGACCGAAAAAGACTAATGGGGCTCATTTCAAAGCGTGGACCTACTTCTTTCATGTGACAATAATCCGTCCAATGTGAGCTCAAAATGCAAAAATTTTTGGGACTACAATCAGTAAAGTACCAAATATAAAGGGTGCAAAATAGTAGAGCGAATGGGACTTTTAGTAAGAAAAGGATTTCTATCCTTCCAAAAATTCTTCCCGAACATTTAAGATACCTTAAATCGCTTTTTCATGACCTGCAATATGATATATGATATCGATCATAAATAACCATTGTATGATTTAAGCTATTTTTGGAGTCTTCGTCATTTTCTTCTATTTTTGGCCCTTATTTGACATCTTTGTTTCTAAGGGAGTAGAAAATTCTCGGAGTAGGGCCCATATTGGTCTTGACCACTAAAAAATTGTATTTATGCTACCCTGGCGTAAGGAACCATCGTACAGATAATTGCCACATAGAAATTTATTCATGTAAAGTCCCCACATTGGAGTATCCCAAGTCCACTTTCACATCTAATGTGTGGTCAGAAAAGAAAATTTTGTATTCTATTGAATTTGTAACCCCCAAGAGAATATTGGTTGGGAACGTAGATATAGATGTACATCCCAAATCAAATAAATTGTGAAAAACAAGAACAAATTATAAATATAAGAAAGTAGCACGGGACCGAATATTTGTTGAATCGTCATTGAATTATACTATGATGAAAAATATGGACTTTATGGCGTCTCCAATTTACAATTTAAATGACAAATAAAATTAGTTCCCATCTTACGGTAATTGGAGTAAAATAGTAATTATATTTGATTATCTTGAAATCAGTCTGCCCTCAATTATGAGATGGATAAAATTATTTTTACTTATTTAAATCACGTGAATTTTTTTCAGTTTGACATGCTATGTTGTTCTGCTATATTTTCGATTTGGCCTCTATTTGTCATCTTAGATTATAAGGGGTGAAGAAAGTTTTCAATGTAGGTCGATGTTTCGCAGTAGTGCCCATATGAAGGTACTTCCTGATTTTACCTTATTTCAAAGGATTTGGCTAAAAATGTGTATTTGGGAAGGGTGAAAATCGTACACAAAAATTTCAACATATCTACAAATTTTAGAATTTTCTCCATGTAATAGTACCCCCACAAGTCCATCTTTTGGCGGACTTATGAGAACTCTAATGCACAATCTGAGGTGTTAATGGGTTTAAAAAAGTAATTAACTTTGGCTATTCTTAAATCATTCAGCCCTCAATTATGAGGTGTACAAAATACAGTAAATTCCAAATTACTGCTCATTTGACTAAAAACTAAAAATTAATCGACCAGTACATGAACACTTATAACAGTCATATCTTTGAATAATTATGCTTTGACAAATATGCATAATAGACTAAAACTACGGGCCGGCAACGCGGACAGGGTCAGCTAGTTTAATATAAATAAGACAACTCGGCAAAAATCTTATATTAATATACAACAGTATAAAAACAGCCTATAGCTAGATTAATCTAAAAATACAAAATACACAACAAAAATTAATAGCGAATTATATTATATATTTATATAAAAAATTAAATAACGATAATAATTAGACCCTCAGACACAACTTCTCCACCAGGAAAAAGGCAAGAAACATCAATACATTTAGGCGCTAATCATTACTCGTTTCCAACCGAGCGAATGTAGCAACTACAAGCGTAGGGAAAAAATTCTTACAAAATAGAAAAAAAAAACAATAAAATTACTCTATGGAAAATAAACAACCATAAAAATAGCTCTCCAGCCAATAACTAAAAAGAAATAACGAAAAAAAACCTTAACCAGAAACTCATTGAACAGACAAATATTCAAAAAACATATCAATAGGACAAGTAAAATCTTGGATTAGGGATTTCGAGAAGACCTTCAAAATACAAACTTATTATATAAAGGAGAATTAATCCTGTAGTGACACAAAAACAGACGATATTCAACATATCTGTCAAAGGACAGATATGCTGCATACTGCTTTGTACGATCACTACGTCGCAACCCAAACACATATCTAACAATAGAATTAACAGGTTTGCAAACACGCAGAATTTGACAAGCATTGGCTCCAGAAATGACCTCCAAAGAATAGTTGACATGAGATATTAATAAAGATCTGGTTACCATCGTCCCAACACCAATAGGCAAATGAGCTTGAAGACTATAGAGCCACCTAAGCTGAAAACGCACAGGAGGCAGCAAAGAATCAACATGCGATGAAAAATTAAGCTTGGAGTCAATGAATACACCTAAACATCTCATCCGCAACATTAATCACAAAGGAGCCAACACAGATGCACAGCATAGGAACATAACGAGGACTATTAAACAGAACAGCTTCAATCTTATTCCGATTGACAGACAAACCATTAGAGGAGATTCACATCGCTACACTTTCCAACTCAAAGAGATCCCGACTTCTGAAGAAGACATGAATGTCATTTCGAATTTCATCTGAAAAAGGTGTAGCCTCGGCACAAAATGTTACTTCATCTATACTTCTATAACAATACTGCCAATACAATCAGACAATTGGAATTCTTGAATTATAATTCGAATGATTTTAATTACAAATTACAATTCAAATGATTTGAATTACGAGATGTTATTTCATTTATACCAGCAATTTCATGTTATTTCATCTTTATGGGCAAAATAACCATCACCAAGACTGATTTGTGATGTATGACGTCCGGGGTTTTCCTCAATCCCGGCACGGACCAATAAAATCCGGGATATACTGCACCCAATTCAGAAAAATAAACAAACACAAACATGTACATACTGGGTTGGCAGCCGCTGGCTGAAACTGGGATGTTGTTGTTTCTGGTCAATCCGGTATCGTAGAACCCGCTAAAGTGCGATTGACATAATGTTGTCGAACGTCGCGACGTAACATATTGTGAGAGAACAGTATGTACATGCTTGTGTTTGTTTATTTTTCTGAATTGGGTGCAGTATATCCCGGATTTTATTGGTCCCTGCCGGGATTGAGGAAAACCCCGGACGTCATACATCACAAATCTGTTTCGGTGTGATGTAATGGATGTAGAGAATGGGTGCACTTCAAGACTACAGTTATGTTGCGACGTGCTGCAATAACGTAGTCCCCAGCGAGTCAAAGACGTCGTCGACGAAGTATAGAACTCCACCACAGTCTTCAGAACAGCAACCAAGAACGCA